ACTTTGTTTTACATGAAAATTGTCCATTAAAGTGATTTTTTTTTTTTTTTTTACCATTTTCTATGAAATTTGTTTTCATTGCAAAAAAAAAAAAAAAATTTCCAGCCAGCCTGGAAAATTTTTTCTCACCAAAAAGACGGGAAAAATTTTAATCAAAAAGCCAGAAAATGCACATATGTGGACTAAATCTGAAAAATATTTTTCGTGGAAAATTTCACCTATCAAACAGCCAAAAAAGTGGAAAGTGTAAAATATTTTCCTAGTTGTCTGGTAAATAACGCGTATCAAACAAGCCCTTAGGTATTTTATATCTTGTTTAGATAAATTGGGTATATGAAAAACTTACATTTTTTATCCAATTTCTCTAAAACATATATAAATTAATAAAAATGTCACGACGCCGTTACAAGTTCGCGTGCAACACACGTGTTATATACTAGTACAGAAAAAGAGAAATTATAAATAGTCAATATGTAATTTTAGTCTACAACACAAAATAAACGCATATAGTACAAAAAAAAAAAACAATATTTACAAATAGTTTCATAGTACTCTACACATTCGTACATTAATAATGAGAAAAGGCCAAAGTTCCCTGGGGTATGCCTCATCACTAATATGTTCTACTCAATTCAAAACCTTGGAAAGATCCCAGCTTCTGATTCTGCTCTGGTTGCCTCCTTGCAACACTATCTTCATCTAATACGACCCCACTGTCACTAGCATAACCGATTTCCACAGAGAACGAAGGATCAAGAGTACTGAATGATGGAGAGGATTCAACTGACATGTCGAGCAAACCATCTAAAGAACGACGTGCCAAATCCGCGTGATGCTTACGAGCCAAGTTTTTCTTCGCTTTGATTCGCCACCTTTTTAGGCCTCCCAACACTTCTTCAGTGAAAACAGAATTTCTCATTGATGAACCCATCTGTTAATTAATTTCATTAGGATTAATTATGACAGGAAGCATGGAACCAGTTCAATTTTTACCTTGTGGAAGAATAATGGTGTTTACCTGATTGATTAGTGCATAGAGAGGCAGAGTCACATAGCCACAGAGAAAGTTGACTACTACTCCTACTGCTAGTTTTATGACGATATCTTCAGTTTCCCGATGGAAGCACGATCTCAGACCGAATTTGTACTGTTAAAGAAACACAACTGGTGATTCTTTATGTGCTGTGTTATAGGAAAACTTGAAAATAAAAAGATTATTTTACTGTGCTCACCCAAGACCACGTGAAGAATGCCAACTGAAACGAGTTCTGCAATGCCGAACAAGGTATTCAAGAATCAGTGCTACGGAGACACAAACAAATCTTGCATAGAGGATATGCCAAATATTTGTCGAGAGTCGTTGAAGAAATTGAAGATCACACAGTACACATACTAAAAAAAACAATGATATCTGCAACTCAAAATATTCTCAAATTTAAATTTCCATATACAGTTGATACTAGATAATGATTGGTAGTTACTTAAGCTTCGAGATTTTCCTTATCTTAGAAGTTGATGGAAGCATTAGTCCATTAATGGTTTCTTTGTTAAGTTGGTCGTAGAACACTGGACATTACTAAACAAGAAAGAAAAAAACTAAATTTTGTCTATTCTAGTGTCGTTTAATATACAATACGATGTAATGAACATGCACAGTTAACCTTTAAGCATACCACTAGGAACGTAATTATATTAACAGCATTAATCTAAGTACCTGAAATAAGATAAAGTGCATTAGGTGGAGAAGTAATTTTGGTCTATCAAACCAGAAGAAGTGGTCGCTTGGCCGAACAAGCAGAGTTCCTTGAACAACATGAGATTTATCGCTGCTGTCTAAGCACATTCTGGTAATGATACCTTGCAGCTTTGTCCCAACAACCAGTAACATCTGAAATGTGAATAATTGATTTCGTTAGTTATTTATCTTAATTTTCTCGTAATAAAACAAAATACTCTTTATTTATAACATTTTGTTACCAGTAGCGGAATGAATGGGAGCCAAAAATAGCTGTGAAATACTGCATCAAGAAAGGCATGGAATTCCAGTCAGGGCTATTAGAAAAATGTTCAGGATTCATATATTTGTGTTAAGAGTTTGGTACATTACCAAATGCATTGAAGAATATGAAGAGTACAGAGAAGATCCATATCCAAAGCCTGCAAATTATAGACATATATATGTATCAGAATTCAAAAACTATCACTACATGACATTTAACGATTAGAGATGCCCTGGTGGTCAGAATTACCTCATGCCCACGACGACACCAAAATCTTTTCCCAGTGCTCTCTTTAGATACTTTTGGAAATCAAAATTACTTTCTTCGGCAAAATGGGCCTGAAACAGAATATGTGAGTGAAACGGGAAGTAAATTTTCAGGTTGAATTGGGAAAAGTTTTCATGCATATAATAGGCATATAGAGGTATCCTACCATGATGAATCCATGTCGAAGAGTGAAATAATCTACTTTGGAAACAGATCCGTAGAATTGACGAAGAAAACAAGCCTGGTAGAATATGACAAACATCAAGTTTAATTTGGAACAGTAGCATGAAAATGAGATATCAAAAGCTAAGAAGCTCTTCGGTGAAGAACTAACCGGCCAACGGAGGAGCCGGTGTTCACTCCAAAATTTAAGATGTCTTCTTCCGAATGATGTTTGATGAATGAACTGAAACCTCCTGTTATCTAGACAGCACAACTTAATGAGTCATTCTCTAGCCATTGAACTCATTGTTCACGATAATCACAGGCATTGCAAAAGAAAAGATAAACAGTGATGCTTCTGGCATTTACAAGACCATAGAGTTCAGCAACATGATCAATAAATTTGCATGTCAAAAGACTGGCTTTTCCGGTTTTAAGTTTAGCACATATCGGTGTTCTTGCTTTCATTTCATTGTCTTTGTTATCGTGACTACTTGAATACGAAAATTATCCCAGTTACTCGTCAGATAGGGTATGAATATCTATCAACCCTTTTATTCAAGGAGATTGACCTTTCACTTACCATTTGAAAATTCATATTCAAATGTCCTGGTTTCTGCTTCCCAATGTTCCCATTTCCTCATCTGAAAATTCAAAAGCAGCAGTCTTAATCAAAGGTCAAAATCTTATTTTTTTTACGTGCAATGAAATTCCCCTCTTTTTGTGACTTGTACCTACTGGCAATTCACAAGAGAAAAATTCAACATCCGTGGTCCACCATCCAAAATAAAAGAAAAAACTGACCAAATTTTCCTAGAGGAGAAGTATATATCGTAAAAAAGAGCAAAACTAAATTACCTTAGCTGTCCCAAGACTGAATGTGAGAAAACTGGACAAAACATGGAAGACAGCTAGAAAAAATATCAACAATTGGAGTTGCTGGATGCCCACTCTCGAAACGAAAGAAAGCTTACCCTGTTCCACAATTTCATAAGTGCAACTAAATCTGGAACTTACAAGTTAATTAATTGCATCAAATTCATCCAATTTACGTTCAAAGAACTACTCCACCCTACATATAAAGTACCTGTTCTTCACATTTGGATTCCTCCTCTTCCTCACTCTTCAAGCTATGGCAAGGAAGAAAAGAATGAGCAACACCCTTAGGAATACATATATTTGCAATTGGCTTTTCACATACGGTCAGCAACAAGGAGATGAAGCCCAAAAGCAATAAGTCTACATAATCGGCAAATTCAAGGACAATAAGCAACACGAATTTTCTTAGCATTATCAAGAAAATTAACCAATATATTCATCCCAAACATAAAATATGTAACCTGATTTGATTTTGTTAAGAGCATGAATGAGATATTTCCTCCTCTTCCTGCTCAAGTACTGCACAAAATGATAAAACATGAGTATTTTGAAATTTGAAGTGTTTAGTTATTTTTCCTCAAACTTATTTTGAACAATGCATTCTTACCCTAAAATAATTTTATATGTAAACCCTGAAAACTTTACCATATTTTTATCCACACGTTCTCCAAGAAAATCAATATTACGAAATTTACTAATTATACCTTAGCTAAGAGATGAAGACCCTGTTCTATGAGTATAGAAGCTGCTATCATGAAGAAACAAACAGTCGCCACCGCCCATGTTGGTGTCGTTTCAAAAGTTGCAGAATCGCCACCGCCACCGCCTTCCCCAGCCATTCCCAACACCAGTTGTTTTCAAATATTTCCGAGTACTATTTTTCTTGTTGGAGAGAAATTAGGAACAAAAACAAAAAAAAAAGCATGCGACGAAATGTATATAAACTATAAAGTCGGTTGTGTGAATCACAGTTTGGTCAAATCCATGCAAAGCAACGCAAGCCGTCAGATTTGAAACGGGACCCAGTTTAGACGAAGGGAGTGACGTGGTCACAGTAGTTTCATATTTACAACTGCTACGACCAATTACTTGCTGACACGCATGTCAAGGAAAGAAAATGGAATGGACTCGTACTACCACCAACGATTCAAACGTGTTCCCGATTTTTTGAAGTTTTCATACTTCTATTTTCAAAATCCTTTCCAAATATTCAAATTCAATTTCTTTTTAAGGAAATAAAACTTTCAATTCATAAGAAAAGACAAAAATCATCCTGCAGAGATTCCAAGTAATAAAATTTTTGCCCAACTACATTAAAACAGTACGAGTTCTACCTTGCCAGTTAATTTAGCACTAATTTACACTTGAGAAAAATGAACACTACAACGATTCAATAGGGCAAATTTCCACTCAAGGATAGATAGTAGAAAGATTATAGACAACAGAATTCCAGGAATAAGTAACTTGCTAACGCTCGTTTCCGATATTTCAATCGATGTGTTGCAGACTTACAATGCTATATCGAGAGGCACATCTCTTACAGCATGTGTGTCACTTCCTTTGGTACAACTGTTACCCATTATTTTGGTTGCCAACTGAGGTTTTGGATAGAGTTGTTCTTCGTTACTGGCAAGGAAAGTATTTTCATGACTATACGAACAAGCAGATTCAGTTGGACGACTCCCCATTCTTGTAGCGACATATCCCTCCTTCAACGTAAAACCAAAGAGCCTGCAACTACTTTTGCACATTGATAAAAAATTTTCGTTGCCTTTGAAGGATGGGTGAGTTGAAAGAGGTGGCGGCAGAAAACCCATCTGGTTGTGCTCTTCTGAACCACCTGTAGATATGCAACCCTGCAGATCTTCCCTTGTATCACCACTTTCAGAAGATGAGCAGGACGTTAATTTCCTCGCAAATCGTTCAGAAATATGAAATTTGTCCTGATCTCTAGTCTCAAGATTCTTCTGATTGCCAGAATGTAATGTCTGAAATCTAGGTGGTGGAGAGCTTGCTTGCTGATATAATAGCACAGAGGAAGGGGATGATGCCTGTACAAGTGCTGCAGAAGGGTGCATACGAGTTTGGGTCAAGGTGGACCAACTATTTCCATGAGTTGGCAACTGAAAACCATTCATAACATTACTGGCGCCATTTTCGTGCACCTTGTCAGCTGTTGGACTTCTTCCATATGGCACAGTTGGAATTGCTTCTTGACCTTGCAAGACCTTGTGGAATTGAAAGGATTCACCCCTGAAGGAGTTTTTGGGGTCCGCCTGCAGATGCCTACTGCTGTAACCATTGTTACCCGGAAAGCACCTCATGGCAGATGGATGATGACTTGGAGCATCAACTTCGGCATATGGGGTACGAAAACCCAAAATTTCTTGACCTTGCAAGACCTGCTGAAACCTTAGAGGCTCCTCAAAGTCTGAAACTTCATTCCCATCTATAAGAAGCATAGGCTAGTTAATACTCTCAGAGGAAGCACCAAGCAACCAGCAGGAACGAATATAAATACAATAAGACAAAATAAGAACTCGAGGACCTCTAAGAATTGGAAAATCTGGTTTTGTTGCCGGAAACCCGACCCTGATTCTCTTGGCACCCGGTACTACGAAGCCACTGGGTGCAGACACTGAACCAGATGGCTCTATCTCCCAAGGGGAAACTCTATCTAGGCGATTGAACTGTAAATCATCGTACCTAACCTGCAGAAGTGAAAAAAGACCATTGATGTCACAAAAAATACGGCTAAAGACACAATAATAATTTGATGCACAACAGCCAGCCAGTGACGCAGACAGATGCTGGGCACCGAAGCACCAGCAATATGAGAGCTTCGGTCATTAATGAAATAAAAAATATAATGAAGGATCATCTCTCATTAGTAGATAACTGAGAATGCACACCATAAAAGACTAGAGAGTCAGAATCAATGCATTGTTGAAACACTACTTAAAATTTAATGATATTGGATATCATAACTAATTTAACACATGATCTCAACACGCTTAAGCTTTAGGAGATAATGGGTCACCATAGGTTGCATTAGCAACTCTAGTAAGCAAGAGTCACGGGTACAAAAGGAAAGTGTTTAGACTCCATTAGTAGTTATGGGGTACACAAAGGGTTTGATACTAAGCAGTGGACGGCTCAGATATAAATACCATATGAAGCTTCAGCAAATAATCGCGGAGACAAATTTCAAATAACCTGTATGCACATCTTTTCAATTTCCAATGAAATCTTTCTCATATTCTTAGATGGATCATGAGCATTATAAATACTCAAAAATACATTAAATCAGTAGCTTAATAAATCTGTCTTACTAGTGGTGGAGGGCACCTATGATGCTATGGCAATAGTTTGAACATATATTAGTTTACAACTGCATGACAAAAATTTTGATTTTATTTTTAATGAAGGCAAACCTATTGAACAAAGTACCAGGTTCAACTCGATATAATGGATTATTATACTAGAAAGGGTGAAAGCTAGAGCTGAATAATGCACTTTATACTAGGATAATTGCTGTGCTATTACAATATAAAGCAGAAATAAGCAAAATACATACCAATAAGCACCTCCATTTTGATCCAGGCCATCTAACAGGATCGACCTCACTAACCCCAACAATAAGTCCACTGCACTTACCCAAATAATATCAATTCTCTTGACAATATACAGATATGAAACTCAGAAATTCTAAAGAAACCAACCTTCTCTCAGAAGCATCTTCTGTTTCAACACGCATCTTGAACCTCATTCCAGCAGAAAAATATTGTGCACACTTTGTGAATTTATGACATGGTACAATAATCTCAGATGAACTAGCCCTGAAAAACATAATATCTAATGAAACTTAGAAACGACAGCAACATAGCTGGAATAGGAATTACTGATAGAAGTACTAGACATAGTTGAGAAATCTCAGTGTCACACAAGTAAAATGCAGATATGCCAATAGAGTACTATCACAAATATTAAAACATGCTAAATTTTAGAAAGAAATATCCAGGTGAACCAAATGAATCTTGAGCATATCTCTAGTATATCTAGTATCTAACATAAAATATATGGCAAACAGAAATTTGAAGAACAAAGCACGAGAAGGATAAATATAATTCATAAAAACGTCATGTTACAAGATTTCGTCAGCTATTTTAGCGAACAAACAAGCACATCATATTACAGTATCATAAAGTGGTCCCTTTGAGGGATATGTTTGCAATACCATAAAAGAAAGAACAGTAAAAAACAAATCTTAAGCTGATGTATCAATCTCTTAAAAAAATCATTTTGATACTATCCAGGCAGTAACCATCTTTTGGAACAAAAATACAAATTTCAGATAATATTTAGGTTTGACTCGATACCTGGGATTATAACAGATGTTAAAAATACTTCGTGTAGATATGGCATTCAGCACACTAGCAATGCTGCTAGCACAAAGCTGTTGCGAAAGGAAAGCTGGAATTGAAGCACCACTTTTAGTTTGGGATGCTCTTCGGATCCCTAACCTGAGTTCTCCATCCCCACCCCTGCAATGGATGCCCACATGTATAAGAAAGCAAATATAATTAAACATTCTTCACTTTTGCAACATTTAGCATTTCATATCCTACCTTATAAAGAGCACAGCATCTCCGGATATGAGCTTCTTTTTATTGACGAATGCACTCCAACCAGTTGTGAGCAAATGCCTTCGAGGCTGGCCTGTTCCAGAAGTTATTAATAAATAACAAATTCACAAAGTTAGGGAAATCGGTCAGTACAATGAACTTTTACAGGTGATCCCATACATACAAAGCATAGACAACTAGATACCAAAGTTCATACCTCTGTAGATATGCCGAAATTTCCACTCAATCCCATGTAGATCCTTAGCAACAAGCTCCTGAGAAGGCCTCTGTTGTTTGTAGTCCTAAAAACAAAGTACGATATAACCATCACTATAGCAAAATAAGATGAACAAATGACTCTAATCTTATGATAGAACATCAATAATTGGTGATATTAAATTAAAATCGGAAGTCAAATGTGATTTAAGTTACCAGTGGAGGGAAGCAATCCTCGGCAGCTCGACGAGGAACAGAGAAACCACCATGAGTGCTGGTATCAGAAGCAGTGAGAGTTTTACAGAACATGTGTGGTATCAAAGACGTTCTAGCTCCTTTGGTGTCTTCATCGTCAGTCTCTGGTTCAACTTCCCCATCCCTCCATTTTTTCTCAATCTGCCCAAAATCATACAACTTTCTAAGAAAGGTCATATGTCATTCTTTCTAGTAATGGTCCATGCACAAAGCAGAGGCCATACTGAAATTAAAAAGATGCATTCCTAGGAAAGTAATATTTCAGATAGCCAGAATAACACAGAAATTCTTTATGATCATTAAAAGTATAAAGTTGCTAAGATTTAACATATTTCACATATAAATATTACATTGAGCCAGAATTCCACAGATCATACTTTTAGATCTAAGGAGAGTAAAGTGCCTCTCTAGAAAAGGTATTATACTTATCTATGATTATTGAAGAGAGAGAATTTTTCCATAACATATAATGGTAGAGGAAAACCATTTATTTAGATCGTCTGAGGAAGTATCCAAAAATTGTTAAATTTTGCAGATTACAATAAACACGAGAAATTTAAGTTGAATTATTGCAGTTACGCACCAGCAATATGACCTTACAACAAACTCATAAGCATTTCAGAGTATATAGAGCCTCACTTGATTGTCCATAACCAGAAAAATTTGCGCATAAACTTCATCATTTGCTGTCTCGGCCTATTCCCAAATTAAAGTACGACAAGAAACTCTTAGTATTTTCAAAATTCCGCAATAAAAGTTCATAATAAATTAAGAAAAAGGAATTCTACAATGCTTACATGGAGTTTAACATCGACAACGCGACAGAAGACATGGGGAGGAAAATCATAAGCTGCAGCCGGGTGCTCGGAGAGGTATTCCAAGTGGCCTTGAGGAAAGTACACCACAGCGGTCCCCTTTTTGGGAAGCGAAATCAAAGGCCCAGCACAAGCGTGCCATAGCTCCATACTTACCGAAGCCGCGGTCTCCGATGACTTCATCGTCAATTCCGAGTTCCCTGAAATCGCCGACGATGCCGGTGAATTAAATAACAACTCCGCTTCACCTTCATTGTCCACGGTGTTCAAATCAATTAATCCACACATCATATTTGAACCCTAACAACACAAAGTTCCAAGTAAATAAGATTATCATATGAGCTATGAATTTCCTCAACTTGCAACACTATATAGAGAGAGAGAAAGAGAGTACCTATGTTACTGCATTGCTTTCTCACACTAGAAATATAGGAATTGCTTTTTTCCCCTCAGATATCAAATCACACTTTATAGTGTTATACTGATACATTAATTTTATTTTCAATAATATAATATATACATACAATATGTGTATGTATATAAATGACCTGCAACTGGCAGAAGCAGCAACTGCAAAGAACAGCGCTGCAGCTGCTGAGGGGGAAAAAGGCATATAAATACAGGATTGTGTATGTATAGAATGGAGTATAGTAGAGTGGACTGGACTATACTGTGTGTGATTTGTTGAGGAGGATTGGAATAAAAGTAAATAAATAAATAAAAGTGGGGCACGGCAAATAAACTCCCTTTATTTTCGGGGGGTTGTCTATTCTGTCCCCTAATAGTTCAACAAATCTCTCTCGTGGCCCTTTTGCAAAATTAGGCCTATCTGATAGAATTTTTTTAAATTTTATTTATTTTTCTTTCGAATTCATTTTCAATCATCCATTTTTTCAATAAAATAATTTTACACGTAAATCAATAATTTTCTGTAGATTCTTCAAAAAATCAATTTTCAAAAAATCTACGCCAAACAAGCTCTCAATTCAATTTTGAGACCAGTTTCATATAAGGTTTTCAACTTTTAGGTAAACTAGCAGAGTTGAACGTGCATTTTAAGTTATTATGAAATACTTTATAAGTGCAATAAAAGTACTATTTGATACTAATTTGTTGGGAGAATTTGATGAATCTTAAACGAACTAAATAAAATAAAATTTATGATAGAAATTTAAGAAAATAAAATTGTACTCTCAAAACTCAACTTCTACGGTTCGATTTTTTTATGATGATGAAATACTACAAATAAACAATATTTGTATGCTATATTTGGTATATAAAAAAATAATTGCTAATACATGAATTTAAATACCCATTAAATTTTCTGGATACATGAAAAAAAAATAATTCATCTATAATAACTCTAGGTTCGTGTATATCAAGATTCATTGGATCTAGATTAATGTTAATTAATTGAAAACTAATAACACGGAATTCATACATGACAAACATTTTGTAGTATTTATTACATATTCAAAAACGAAAAGTAAGATATTATTGAAATAATTGAATTGTTGTAAGGTTAAAATTGTCTAAAAAATTATTCTCGCTTAATGTGTTATTTAACATAATATAGATTGGATTGAAAGACCCAAAAATTAATAATTATAAAATTTTCAACTTTTAGGTCTATCCATTGAAAGACCCATAAAGTTGCTTACCCACTTATTAGTTCACTAATTTATAGAGGAACTCTTAAAGGATTTTGTTGTAAACTTTCGATACAGGATACTGATCCTTTTAGTTTGGTTATAATACATTGCACATTTGTTTGTCTGTAATGTATTGTACCTTTAGTTTAGTTGTAGCGTATTATATCTTGGTTATAGTGTATTGCATTATTGTATAAATAATTATTTATATTTTATTAAGGTAATTAATTATTTTCTTATCTTTTACTAATTAATAAAAATTTAAAACTCTTCGTATATTTCTATTAGCACTATTATAATATTTTTTTGTTTATTGTTCGAAAAAATATATATATTTTTTATTAAGCTTTTAAAGCTGCAGTTTGTTAGAACTTAGATAGTAAACTTTTACCATATATAGAACGCATGCTATAGTTTTCGTGTCAAACTGAACTTCGTTGATAACATTTTTATCAAGTGTATATGGTTAAAATTAAGTTTTTGTTTGATTCCAAATTATTAAAACTCCTTTTTTCCAAGTACTTTTCAATTGCACATTTTATGAAATTCATAAAATTTATCAACTGTCAAACCAAGTAAGGACTAAATTAATTAGTGAGCCAATTCCAATTACTAGTACAATTTTGTAGGAAAAAAAATTATTACCACAATGTATTAGTAACTGAATAATGTTGCTTGAACAAACTCAATGGTAGGCCACTTTTGATAGACTGATTTGACAATTATTTTTTCAATTTTTTAACTGTCAATGAAAATTTGCCAAGTTTGTCCGTTTATAAAAATTGCAATTATAGTCTCGGATTTTTTTTAAAAAGTGCAAACGACTCCTAAATAAATTATGGAAAAAATTAGAAATTAAAAAAATGTAAACGAGTCCCAAATAAATTATTTTAAAAATAGACATAATTTTTTTTTAAAAAAAAAGTGCAAATGAGTCACAAATAAATTATTAAAAAATTAGACATTAATTTTTTTTTAAAAATGCATATCCAAAATAAATTATTAAAAAAATTGAAATTTTAAAAAAAATAATTTTGTTTTTTTTTTTAATATGAGAGTATATTCGTCATTTCACAACTCTTTATTGATTAAAATGGATAGGAATGACAGTTTGCGCAATCAAATATTTAATTAAAAATGAAAATGTCAAAAAATAAAATGTATGGACGTTTTTCACAATAATATGCGTTAATTAACATTTTAATTAACATTTTAATAATTAATTTGAGACTCGTATGCACTTTAATAATTTATTAGTGAAAGATACGAATATTATGCGTTAATTAACATTTTAATAATTTATTTGAGACTCGTATGCACTTTTTTAAAAAAAATTAGGACTATGATTGCAATTAATTATTTTTTTCCTCCTTTTGTTTTATTTAAACAAAATGGTTTATTCATTATTTTACAATTTTTAATTGAGAAAATGAATGAAAATAATCTTTTGCGGAATGAAATGTGAAAATAAGAGCGACAATGTCAAAAATGAAAGGTAACAACGCTTTTCCCAATAATAGTAAAAAGTATGAGCGTTACTTGCTAATTATCTATATTTTATCAAAATTTGTAATTATTAGTTGTAAATATAGTATCACTATATTAATATGTAGTTTCCGTTTATTTCTCATTTTTATTCATAAAAATGAAAAATATGATCGTTATTCATTACATCAAGCCATCAATTTTAAATTGGGAAAAAACTCATTTATCCTACTTTATATTTACCATATTTCAAAAATAACAAAACAACTTTCATATTTCAAAAATCAGATTTTTTGACCTATACATACACATATTTATAAATATTTAATTAAATATTTAAATATATAAAAAGATATAAATAAATA